CTCGGGGGAGCGTCGTCCCGGGCTCGGGCTCGGGCTCGGGCTCGGGCCGGGCGGGCCCATGGCGAGGCGCCGGAAGTTCCGTGAAGCCTTCCGGCCCGGGGGCCCCGGCACGGACGTCCCAGAGACTCCCCGGCCCCCGCGGGCTGCCGTCTTAGCAATTCGTGTGTTTAACTTTGCGACAGGAGCGACCCAAGCCTTAGGAGCGTCATCACCCGGAAGCTGAGCGGCCCGGTGGCTTTTTCGGAGATGACAGTAGGGCTGCCGGGCGCCACGTTCTCCTCGTAGGGGTTTCATGAGTCCACTCAGTCCAGGCAAATCGCCTCGGGTTTCTTAAGCTCTCCGTGGGTTTAGGGTTCAGCCAGGCGAAGTAGCACATTTCCGACCTCTACTGTCGAATATTATTCTAGTGACTTCCCGTAGCACCAAGTGATCTTATTCCCCGCTCTTCTTTTCAAAAAGCATCCAAATATTTATGACCTTAAGAGATTTTTTTTTAAAAAAAACGGAGGATATCAGTGATAAATTGCAGCCTATTTTGCAAAGCTCTCTTTTGAAAAGCAAACTCTGCGTGCTTGCCTACGTGTAAAGTGTTTTAGAAGGGACTCGAAGAGACCTCATGCCTTTTTTTTCTTTTTCTTTTTTTTTTTTTTTTTACGTATGTCTTGAGATGTAAAACTGTGCATCGGGCTGCGAATGTCCACATCAGTCCCTTTGGATTCCTGTGAGGAAATCACATGTATCTAGTTCATTTTCTAGGTATGATAAAAGAATGTATGGCTCTTTATGCTATGAAAATAAATTTCTGAAAGTTTACAGCTTTTCCTTATCTTGTAAATAAAAAGAATTGCAAGTTTCCTTTTTTTTTTTTTTTTTTTACAGGAAAGTTGGCTTGTGTAATTCTGTCAATTTCAGATTTCTCTACCATTCTGCAAATTGTGGGAAAGGTTGACAATGCAAACGTGTCAAAGACTTAATACTGTTGGGTGCAATATTAGCAATTTAAAAATGCAAATTGCTTTGAATAAATTATTTCTATATTCTGTAAATCTGAGATTGAATGTATATTTTTGTTTAAAAATAAAGACTTTAGTAAAATGTTTGGAAGTTATCATCTGAAATATTTTTAACGTGGGTTTCTTTTTTGTTTTTTAAAGAACTGGTTACATAATAATCTAGTCTCACAAGGTTTCTAAAAGGAATTAGGGGTCTTTGAGCGATGGAAAATAAAGTCAGGGACAGGGTACTAAGAGGGGAGAGTAACTGGGGAATGGTGAGCAGACTGAAGAAACAGAGGATGTGGATTTAGAATTGAGAAGTTCAAGTCTGCGCCAGGAAGGGTATCATCTCAGTATACTTGGACAAGGGACGATTTTTCCAAGTGACCTTAACTCTTTGGAGCCAGAATGAAAGGAAGGGTGACCCTCGGCCCAAGGTGGGGGACGGAAAGGGAGCAGATGGTTTAGAAATGCATGATTAAGCCCTGCTCGATGGCTCAGCCTGCAATCCCGCGCTTTGGGAGGCCGAGGTGAGTGGATGGCCTGAGCCCGCAGGTTCGAGACCCGCCTGGGCAACTTGGTGAGACCTCGTCTCTACAATAAATCAAAAAAAAAAGAAGAAGAAAGAAAGAAATGCATGATTAACAGTCGGCAGAAAAGCCAAGAGGAGTGAGCTAGGAAGCAGGTGGGAGACTTGAGGTCTGAGGGTGCAGGGAGGGATGAGTCTGGTGACTTTTCTGCAGGGTGGGCGACTCCTGGGTGCAAGGGAGCCATGGCGCCACTGGGGAAGGAGGCTCTCTGTGTGGCAGAGATGGGGTACTCTTGGGAACTCATAATTTGCAGCAGGTGAACAAGGACCAGTCATAGGATGTCTGGGAGGGAAGGAGATGGACAAATGACTCGTCTCTGCAAGAGAAATGGCATGAGAAAAATTCTAAGCAGACCTGGGAGATCATCCCTAAAAAAAGTGACGGCCTCTTTTTCCTGCAGTCTATGAAGGGGGACCCCGCCCCCCAAAAAATCAGAATTATCTTTTGGAGGGTGCGTCCCTTGTAGAACAGGCTTCCCCCACTCAGTAAGTGCTCTAGGAACCCACCGGCATCAGTGTCCCAGCTGGAATTGGTGTGAGAGCCTGAGTTCAGCTTCAGTGAATCTTTTTTGGAGATTCTTTCTAGTGTTTGCCCATTTCAGGATGGATGATTTACGAGCGCACCTGCCCACACTACGCTGAATGTGCAGCAGTTTTTGACCCAAAACGGTATGGTCCCCCTCGCCCCACCCGCCCTCTTCACCCAGTCTTGCCCCTAACGACTTTTTTTTGTTTGTTTCCCTGGATAAAAAAGGCCCTCAAAGGGAAACATTTTGCCGATGTGGAAGAGGTGAAACAAAAACGGCACAAGCGCCCAAAGGCATTTAAAAAATGTTTTGAACAGTGGAAAAAGCATCTTGATCAGTGTATTACGTCAAACAGAAAGTACTTTGAAGGTGACTGAAGTTTAAACATGTCAGAATAAATACACAATGTTTTATACATAAATTCTGCGTTTTTTGGATCCGCCCCCCCATATTACTGTACTTAAGTTGCTTGAGGTAGACATGTTTTTAATCAAAGAGCATCACCTAAAGATTCTTAGTCATGTTCAGTCCAAGAAACTGCTCGATAAAGGGGGAGAAAATGATTCTTGAGAGACTTCAACATGATAGAAAATGTACCCTAATAAAATCTAAATATATATATATTTTTAACAGTTTCTGCCTTCATGTGATGTGAACGAAGCTTAGGAAAACTGCAAGGCAGCTTCTAAAATTCCTTTCAGAATCTGTTAGAAAGTGACGGCTGCAATACAACTTCTGGTGCATTTACAAAAACAGGCCTGTCAAAACACTGAAAGCAACACAGAATATATCTCAGGGAAAAGTGGAGGTTGGGGCCCTTAAAAATAAACACTGTGAAAATGATTTTCTTGCTAGGCATGGCGACTCACACCTGTAACCCCAGCACTTTGGGAGGCCAGGGGAAGAGGATTGCTTGAGCCCAGGAGTTCTAAACAAGCCTGGACCCCTCATCTCTGCAAAAAAAGTTTAAAAATTAACTGTGCATGGTGGTGTGCACCTGTAGTCCCAGCTACTCAGGAGGCTAAGGTGGAAGGACTGCCTGAGCCTGGGAGGTCAAGGCTGCGGTGAGCCATGATCATGCCACTGCACTCCTGCCTAGGCGACAGTGGGAATCTAACTCAAAAAATATATACATGTATATTTCTTGGTTAGATATTTCTCTAAAGAAGATACATAAATGGCCAATAAGCATATAAAACAATGTTCAACATCACAAGTCACCAGGAAAAGGCAAATAAAAACCACAATGAGATACCACTTCACACCCACTAGGGTGACTGTAATAATACAAACAAAAGAGCACAAATTGGAACCTTCATATATTGCTGGAGGGAATGTAAAAAGGTACAGCCACTGTGGAAAACAGTTTGGCAGTTTTCAGTAAGTTAAACAGAACCACCCTACGTCCCAGCAATTCCTCCCCTAGGTATATACCCAAAGAATTAAAAACAGGTACTTAAATGCTTGTACACTGATATTCATAACAGCACTATTTACAGTAGCCAAAAGATAGGAACAACCCAAATGTCCGTCGCAGATAAATGAAC